TAGGTGCTGTAAACATAGCATAATGTATTGGTTCTCTAGGAAGCCGTCCCTGTCTGAACTTTTGCTGCGAGAGTGTTTTCTTCCTGAATGCGTTTGGTTTCCACTCACAGTTTTCGCCTGTGCCAACATGTGGATGTCTCTCTCTAGTTTACTGGGCACTCTGTGCTGCAGCATTCTGTGCCCTGATGGTTAACTCAGCTTCCAGAGGGAAAAACAGCTTCCTTGTGTGGGGCTGTGGTCCAGCTTTGCCCAGAATTCATTTTAAAAAACAAACACTAATGGTTGAAAAGCAAAATTCCTCTAAACCGGGCTGTTTGAGAGCTCACGTCTCCTTTTCCAGTCCATCTTGTTGCATAACCTACCCTTTATGTAACACCCTTTATGGGAACACTGGATGTGAAGTGCAAAATAAAAACGCTCCAAAAACAGAGCTTCATTATGCAGATTCCTCCTCTAGCAAGCCAGGCTGGGTTGGGGGTAGGAATGAGCAGGTCTGATAGTCCCTTGGGTGATCGTAATGTGGTAGCCGTGATCAATGCGCGAACTCTGCTAGTCTAGATGATTCAAACACTAAAAGATGTATTAATGTGAAAGTAATTAATGATCCTGTACTCTGATTTCACTATCTTTTGCTAACCACTGCTGGGATGCAGATGTGATGGCAGAATTTAGATTAGTCAACTTGGACCCAGAGTTGGGAAATGTGGTTGTACTTTGGACTGCCAGATGAGCTATTATATTTTTATGTGATTTCAGATAAAGACATCCATATACACATATATAAAGGTGGATTATCTTGACTTGGGTGAAGATAAAATGATAAGGTCAATTGCTCCATGGAACAAAAATGTGAAAATTCAGAATAGTTAAGAGTTTTACCCACTTTGACATTTAAAGTCTATTGACAATCTCTCTTATGGGGCAGAACTACATCTTGTATGTCTTTGGGTCCTCTACAGTGCTAAAAGCATAGCACATGCTCAATAAAAATAAAAATTTCATGAGAAGGAATAGAACATGATTATTGATGGGTGTGACTCTGGGGTCAGTTGCCTGGATTCAAATCTGACGCTAGTGGTGTGACTCTGCATAAATTTTCCCTACCTCAAATTCTTCAGTGGCAAAATTGAGATGGTAATAGTACATGCCTTATAGGACTTTTCCAAGGAACAAATAAGCTAATCCATAGAAAGCACACGTAAACAGCACCTGCTACATACGACAGGTGAAATGGGCTAGCTATCATTGCTGTGATTATTACAGCAGTGACGATAACCAAAACCATTTTATGGGACCAAAATGAGCTAGTCCAAGGCCTTATTACCCTTCAGTATCTGCCGATTTTAAAATGAAAGCCATGTTCAAACCATTCTATAGTATTTCATGCACTTCATTTTGTATTCATGAAAGGTATTTGTAAGTTAGCAGCCCACTTAAAAAAAAAACACTGATGACAGAAAACCAAAATTCCTTTTACCATGCCTGTTTGAGGGTCCATATCCTTCTAATTAGGGTTTATCAGTGCAGCTGGAAGGATTCTCTTCCTCAGTGTTAATACACACAATGAATTAAGGAAGTCCTCTCAAGAAGTAAATTGTTTTTTCTTTTTTACCTTCTTTCCATCTCCTCCACTAGGCATTTCCACTTTGTCTCTAAGGGAAAAGAACCAGAAGGCAGTGGCTGTTTTCTTCCTTGCTAAGTGGAAGCTGCTTGCCTGAACAAGGCCTGCCTTCCACACAGAGGGGGATTCCTAGCAGGCCTAGGAGTGCCAGTCACTTCAAAAAAGGTTTGCAGCTTGTAATGGTTGATATAGTGTGTCAATTTGAGCAGTTTAGTAGTTTAACTGAGAGACTTAGCAGAGAGCCAGGGTTCTTTGTGAATATCCTCACCCTGTGCAAAGGAGGGCCAGGAGATTTTGTGAGTGCTACACCTGTCCTGAAGCGGGTTAGGCTGGGGTGGGGGTGGGGGTGGTCTGTGTACAGTATAAGGGAAGAAGCTTGTTTTCCCTTTGGGCTCTGGTTGCCGCCTTGAAGGGTTGCCCCAGTGCCCTGCCATCTTGTCTTGGAGTCAGTTGATTATGGACCGAAATCTCCACAGTGAGCTAATAAACCTTTCCTTCCTTCATTTTGGGTGTTGTGTATTTTGTCCCAGTAACAAGAGAAAAATAAACAAGTCACATTTTGGGGGTAATGTTTGATGCTTCTCATGTGCCGCAACTAATTTCAGGAAAAAGCTCGGCTCTGAGGCTGTGACTACTTGCCACTATCTCCATTGATCCTCTGGACCCAAGCGCCATCATCTTCCCCTGGATTATTTGTAATAGCCTCCTATCTGCCTGCCTCTCTTGCTGTCCTGAACATACAGCTGCCATGTCTCAAGTTACTTCATGATTTTTCTCTATTACTGATCCTTTTTTTTTTCTTTTAAAGAGATTAAGACAAATCAGGACATAACAAAGCAGATGAACAGAACAATGTAAGCAGAAGACAACCCATAATTAACAGTAACTACCATGATCTCTTTGCAATAGTTGAGTATAACTTCATATACAATAGTATATGACTTCATATACAATAACAAAATAGCACAAAAACATTCAAGAGAATGAGAGTATGCAGGGTCTATTACGGATTCTTTGGAGTACTCTTCACCTACAAGCTCCTGTAGGAATGACAACTCTCTCCCCATCTCTTTCGCACCCCTCCTCCACCCATCACTGTCCCTCCCGTCACAATGGCTTTGCTGAGTGTTCTACATGATGCTAGCACCTTCCCACATTCCCACCATGAATCAGCACTTGCCGTGGCAGCTGTTCTAGCTCTCACATCACATCAGAGGTCCTTTCTGACCCCTACACCTAATCACATACCTTTCCCCTACTTTTCCTTGTGACATCCTCCCTCTGAGAATAAGCATTTTACTGTCGATTGTCTTGCTTGTGCCAACAACCCCATGAATGATGATCAACCCCCAACATTTGATGAATGAACCACTTAGAATCCTTCCAGTACCTATTTTGTTTTGTATTAGCTAACCTGGCCCACATGTTCATGTAAAATAGCACTTTTTTTCCCCTCAGCCGCCATTTACTAAAATGTATTGAATTAATGACATTTTCCCCTAAATTTTCCAGTCTTCTGACCATTTATCTCCTCAGTCAGCTGCTGGTCTAACTACTTTTTCAGCAACTTAGAAGTTCAAATTCTCCTTTGCTACGTATTATACTATTACAATATTGTGACTACAGTGACCGGTTGACTTTTGTTCAATTGATATTAATATTTGAAAGTTAAATTTATTTTTCTCCAAAATTATAGCTCCTATCCTCAAATATAATCCTAAATAAAGTTGAAATTCAGAATTCCTGTCTGGGTTCCAATTGGGAACTCACTGTTATTAAATTAAGCTTATTATTTCTATTGCTTTCTTCTGCTATTCAGATTTTAACACCTGGACTTTTTCTAGCACCAGACCACTGGAGATAGTAAAACACACACATATCAAATCATTGACCAAAGAACTGAAGGCATGCAGTTCAGGCATGACGACTAAAATGGGGTGGGCAAGCAAAAGCGTCCTGATCTCCTTCTCTTTTCTAAAGGCCCACCCAAAGACGGTCAGTGAACAGAAATTTTTACTGAATGACTGTATCTACTATTAACCACCGTCATCACCAAATTCAGGTGCAGTAAGAGGTTGATTTGTCAGAATATCTGTCTCGGCTCCTTCTAGAGCCTTTTCTTCTTCCTTGGATGCCGTATCTCTCCCCATTTTAGCAGTCCCCTTCATTATGAAATGTCTCAGTATTTCAGTGATCTACAAATATACACTTGTCCTTAGGTAATTTCAACTTTCACAAAACTGAGATTAACTTGCAAAAAAGAAGCAACCTCATAGCACTTTATGCTTATTTTTATTTCTTCTTGGCAATAATGGGATTTTAAATGTCGCCATAGACTCACTTATTTTAACTTCCACCTACTGGCTTAACCTTTTGACATTTGCAATCTACTCTAAGACTGCATGTTAAAAAGAAACTTCTAGTATATTTTCAGGAAGTATGCTGAAAGTTGTACCTTTAAAAAGTATTTCTCAATTTCATTTCTGGATAATTCCACAAGAATTAAAAGGAAGGTCTCTGAGAGGCTGCATTCATTAACAGCGTTATTCACAACAGCCTGGATGTGTAAGTAGGCCAAATGTCCACTGATGGACATATAAATAACAAGCTATGTATTATACATACAATGGGATACCACCCAGCCTTACAGAGGAAAATGTTTCTTCTCGGGCTACAACATGGATGAGCCTATTACTTGTTAAATAAGCCAGTCATAAAAAGACAAAAAGACTGCATCATTTCCCTGCAGCAGGTATCTAAAGTAGTTAGATTCATAAAGACAGAAAGTGGTGTTTACCAGATCTGGGAAAGGGGGTGGCAGTTGTGTAAGATGGGGAAATTGCTAGAGATGTATTTTACAGCAATTCCAAGGTGCTTTACTGAATGTACAATTAAAATGCTTAAGATGGTAACTTTGGTATTTTTTTATGCACAGTGATCACAGTGATCCTCTAAAGTGCTATTTATAGCTATATGGTGTAGGTAGAATTTACCCCTTATAACATCATTTCCTCTTAAACCACACACACACACACACACACACACAAGGCCTCTCTTGAACTTAGTATTTATTAAACATACCAAGTATGAAGCATACTATAGTTATTATTTAGAGAGGGATGACCACTTGGTACAGACTGAAACACATCAGCTATTTTGTCTTTTGTTTATCCTTGTGACTATGTTATTTATGTCTGTCTTCTCTACTAAATAGACAGTAACCTCCAGGGGCTGGTTTGGTTCTCTATTATATCTCCAAGGCCTAGAACAGTGCCTGGAAAATAGCACAGAAATTTCTACTGAATGACTAGATCTACTATTAAACACTATCATCACCAAATTCAGGTGTAGTAAGAGATATACCATAAAGGACACAGAATCAACTTTCAAAAAACTAATTTTAATCAAAACAAAAATTGTTGATCATTAACAAGTTTATAAAACAGTGATTTAGTTACATAAATAAATTGATATCAGTGTATCAAATCTTAATTACTTTCAACTTCATGAGCATGTTTACATGGGTGATGAAGTACAACCTTTTTTTTTTCTTTTTAGCTATTATAATAAATAAAATGGAGCGCATGAAATAGTTCTAAACAAAAATACCTACAAACATACTTCTAGCATGTTCTCTAATGAAGGGAACAAGAGACACTGGACAACTTTTGCACCAAAACATAAACATTGCTTTAAAAAGCACAAGGTTACAGAACCATCAGCTAAAGAAAAGACACTATACTGTAACCAAAGTTGGTATTTTAATAATATAATGAACAGTTTGGTAGTTAGATCTCCAGTTTGGTTATTTTAAAGCATTAAGACAAGGCAAGATAGAAGGCTGCTTTTGTTTTGAGTAATTCTAGAGAAAATAAAATATATCTTAAAAAAAAAGAAAGAAAACTGAAAAGTAGAACAGTCATACCTACACAACTTTCTGTCCTGCACAAAGTCAAAATACCTATGCAGAATAGATATATAATATATATAATGTTATTTGTGCACAAAGGTTAGCTTATTATTAGCTCACTGCAAAGGCGTAATGTATCATATGTCAATTGATTTGGAAAACATTTTGTGTTTTGTGTCAAAAGGATATTTCTTTTAAGTTTCCTAGGCTAGGAGGCACGAACCCCAATTCCGGCATACTGAATATTCTTAATGCTAAGGCTTGCTGCTCTGGCTGTGTGTTTTGTTGTCCTTCTTTACTCTAGTGCCTGTTACAAGCATGTGTGGTGTAGTGGTTGTTGTTGGTGGTGTGTCTGTGTGTATACATATATATATGTATACATAAATTGTATAAATATATATACATATATAATTTCTCCCAACAGATCTCAGTCCAACCATGCAATCCAAAAAGTGGCTCTGCACAGATGCCCAGCACGAAGTTCCACCTGAGCCAACCCTGAAGCAAGGCGCACTTTTAGTCCTTCTGGTAGGTTTTCTCTCAGTTGTTTTTTTTTTTTTGTTGTTGTTGTTGCTGTTTTTGTTTAAAACCAAGCTACTGCAGCTTCAAGTATTTTGCATTACATAGAATATTTTTATAAATTAGTTAATGTTATATTTTCAATATTCAGACATATACTATAATATATATACAGTACAATAAATGCTCTCATTCTTTTTTTAATTTTTTGGATAAATCCCTGAGAATGTATGTTGACAGTCGCTAAGTTTCCACATGCACAAGCATCGTGTGCCATGCTTCTGGACGAACAGCACTGCAAAGCCACGTGGGTCAGCCTTTTCACTACTAGTATTTCATGTTGTTGGTTTGTTTAAATATGCTGAAATGTAAAGATGAGTTACAAAGGAGTAAAGCTGAATCCATTCGAGGTACTTATCACAGGATGGAGGTGTTCTGTTTGGTTTTTAAAGCCATTTCAATTATTTTTTTTTTGAGGCTGTGAACGTATACAGAAAACAGGAGAGCTATGTGGACTTTTGCCACTTGACAACATATACTCAGTGTAAACCAAACCTTTTAACCTCTCTCTCATACAAAACCAATAAAAAAAAAGAATTAAAAAATAAAAGCAAAGAAAGAAAAAGGGAAAAACTAAAACACACAAACTTTCACAACATGACAATTTAGTCTGCAAACGCAATATAACTATACACATATAATACCGGTGTGGCTCTGTTCTTTAAGTTAAAAAGGGTACAAAGGCAGGCTCAAGTAAAAACAAACCATCCCTCCCATCCCCTCCCCTCACCCCATTCATACAAGTTCTATCAACCAAATCTCTCCCGGACCAACATCATCAGTTTCTTTTTGCCTTTGTAGATTTGTTTCAGGTTGTCAATAAACTGTGTAAACTGAATGTGTCCATCATGCGCCATGAGGAAGGTCTCTCGGGCCTTGCTGAGGAACTCTATAAACTCGCTATAGTGCCGAGGACTGATGTGTGTGAGTCGTGAGTGCGTTGTGTTGATGTAGGCCCCGATGGTGGCATCCAAGAGTTGCCTCAAAGGGGCTTTGTCCAGTGACATGAGCTTGCCCGAGTTCCTCCTGCCATGAAGTCCCACCATGCCCGGAGTGGTCAGAGTGCATCTGCGCAAAATGTCCGACAGTACCGTTGCACACTTGACACTCTTGACCACCAGAGGTATTATAGCTGCCAGCTCATTTTTACCAAGGGAGTGGCTAAGTGCACAGGCCCACAAAACATCATTAATGGCAGGGTGCGTGTCCTGATTGTAGCTCAGGTTGAGGTGGGTCATGGCCAGGGTAGCCAGCTTGTAGGCCCTCATGGGGTACCCACGGTGCTCCATGTACCGTGCTATGGTGAAGAGCTGTGTGTAGCTCATGCCGGTGGTAGCAGCGTCCAGGACAATTTGGTATGCCGTCTCAAAAGCTATGTGATCCTTTTCACACAGGGTTAGCGCAGAGAGGGCACAGTTCTGCGGGTCCTTCATGGCACACTGCAGAGCAAGTGTCCGGGCACTGCTGGCCAACTTCTCCTGCTGGTGGCAGTCCAGATGGAGGCGGACGATTGTGCTGTTGGACATCACGGTGGTTGCAACAATACTCGTGGCTTCGGTGGGAGTAAACAGAGTAAACCAGCTCTGCATGATGCTGTCTAGGGCATAAACACCTGCAGGGAATACAAACAAGCCCTGTTACTGACGAGGAGGCTAGCTAGGTCTCACTGCCACTTTTATAATCAATGCTTACATTGTTAACCATCACAGGACACGAGCTAGCCAGAAAATCTTGTACAGTAAGGTGTCTGGGAGCAACCTTTTAGAATAAAGTTATTATGGATTGTTATTCAGTGAAATGCCTGAAAGGAACATGAACTTCCTATAATAAAGAAGCAATCCTCTTGGTAGCTGGTATTTGTACTGTGCTGCTTGCCATTTCAGACAATGGCTTTTTGCTAATGAGTGCTAGTTCACTGGGGCCTCCTGTGAATTATCCTCTAGAGAACTTGAGACAGAAGTACAATATTCACCCAAACAGGGACTCTATGTGATGTTTCTGTGTGCAAGTTTGTCCACACACAGAATTTTAAGATACATGAAGATGCAAGAAAACGTTACTTGCAATCAAGAGAAAAAAGAGTCGAATAGAAGTGGATCTACAGATGACTCAGTTGTCGGCAATGGCTAAAAAGATCTTTAACCACCTTAATTATACAAACCCCATATACCCCATATCTAGGAAAACCCTGAAAGCACATGATCTGATGAGAAGGTAAGTAAGTCACAGAGAGAACTATATAGTAATTTTAACTCATATTAGCTTTGTATTGCTTCAGTAACATATGACCTAACATAATATCTATTTTGAGACTAAGTACTCAGTCCCCAAAATAACAAATTGTTACACATTAATAAAAGAAAAATAAGAATGATTTTATGAGATCTCCTGGGCTAGCAAGAGGTATATATCCATATATTTTCAATGCAAATAGGAAAGAGAGAAAGAGAAGGGAAGGGGAGAAAACAATAGAGAAGAGAAGAGAAGAGAAGAGAAGAGAAGAGAAGAGAAGAGAAGAGAAGAGAAGAGAAGAGGAGTTTAATCAATATTCATCTTATATAGCCACAATTCTGTTTGCCTTGTCTTCTTTCTGGGAATGTGCATTGTCTTGGTAGTGATCTAGTGGAGCAGAGGGGAAAGAGTAGGCTGATGGGCCTCACAAATTGAACTTTATAAACAATTGGGATCATCTTTTGGCCAGCTACCATCTCTCACACGTCTGACAGTCTACCAAATTATACCCAGAGGTGGTCATTTCTTTGCTGGGTACTCAGAAGATGGGAAAATCTTTATAATCTTTACATGTGCTGAATAAAAATAATTTAATCATAGATTTATTGTTTTAAATAAGAAATTGGGGATCCCAAAATATGCTAGTTTAGCAGATGAACAATGCAAGTGTGCAAATGAAGGCTGGGTTGAGGAGGTGGGAGGGTAGGAGGCCCTGTAGGGATTAAAAGAGCCAAGGGCCTCGGAGAAGTCAAGGTGACAGAACAGTAGTTGTCCAGACTGGGGAATGACAGGGTAAATCCTATCATGAGACATCACGGAAAACTCCAGCAGAGTCTACCTACCCACTTCAGTAGCACACGTCACTAGCCACCTCACCATTTCCCGGCGTCGCCAATTTAAGGTTGACAGTGTCATTCGCATAACCTATCAAGGCAGAAAAACAATGCAGAAGATTATCCTAAATCAACGGAAGAAGAAAATATTTAATTCTAAGGTATAAAGCAGTAGGCAGATTCTCTACTACCAGAAGGATGAAGAGTACTTTATTTACAGCAAAGATAAGCACATGCACCTGGGATTGTCCTGGGTGACACCCTGACTGCTTCCTGGGAAAAAGCAGTCCACAATCTATTAATTTTGAGTTCACTGGGCATCCTGGGCAACTCACTTAATCTGTTTTCATGTGAAAAACCAGAGAACTAACCAGGAGCTTAGACATAGTCCAGGCCCTCTTCTACCCAGCTTTAATATTTCACGGTTTAATTTGTGATGTTTTTTGTGAGCTTATTTAAACAAAGAACCTTCCTTGATAATGAAGCATTTTAAAAACAATTTCAGTTACTGTTTCAGTCTCTGGCTGCTACTTCTGGTAATTCTTTCTGTGAAAGAAATAATCTTGGGCAAACTCGGTAATTTGATTTTTATTTTTCACTTTCTAAAAAAAAGTCCCTATCCTCTTCCTATTATGTTCACTTTTTATGATTCAAAACACCTAGTGACATAACATCCTGAAAGCCTCAGAAAGCGCTATAGGATTAACTTATTAGGTCCTAGGAAGACGGATGCAGGGAGTAAACTCTCACTAATCAGCCATTTACCCAGAACAGATAACATTAATTTTTCTTTCTGCATCATGTTTTTAAGATGAGGCAAATAATAACAAAAAGCCAAATAACAAAAATACATTTTTAGGGGCTGGAGGTTTAGCTCAGCGGCATAAGCGCCTGCCTTGCAAGCAGGCAGTCATGAGTTCAATCCCTGGTACCAATAAAAAAGAAAAAGACAAAAAAGTATATATATATATATATTTTTTTTAAAAAAAGAAATTTCTAAATTGTCATTTTATAGCTAATAACAGTAATCTCCTATACTCTCTACTTACACAGAACTTCATGGTACAGTGCTAAGTATATTTTCCAATGATTTATTTCTTTAAATTTTATTAATATAATCGCTACACGGAATCTGTAACTAGAAAACTAAATTTGTTATATAATCATAGCATTCTATTTCCCATACTTTAGGTAATTAGAGTATAACAAATTCTTTCACTGTTTTTCAGATGAGAAAAATTAAAAATGTTAATAGAGATTCCATGAGAAAAATAGAAACGAACTTTCCCATTCCTGGTTTATACCATAACCTGTTCCAAAACTGTAAAGAAGCAAATATCTATCTGTATGATCAACTGAAAACGTTTTCTGTCATGCTGAAATCTGAAACTGGACTCTGGTCCAATCATCCCTGTCTTTATCTAATTGTCTCAGGGTTACTGAAAGGGAGCTAGAACTGCCAAATGCAAATTTCAGTAAAAATCCGTACTTCCTTTAAACACATAACCCTACAATTGAGAATTACACATTCTAGCTTTACTCTGGTCTCTTACCGGCAATAACTAGTGTCCACTCATTCAAAAGAGAAACAATATTAAGGTCATACTTTAATTTTATAAGTTGAGAAACAAGGCTTCTAAATGTATAGTCTCTGTACTGCCCACAACTCTCAAATACAAATACAGTACTCTCCTGAAGTCTAACAGATTCGTTTCTGAAGAATCATTTACTTGCACTAAAAGCTCAAACAAACACAACAACTCTAAGAAGAGTCTTAATCAGCAGTCGTTAGTACCCCAAAAGAGATAATTGCCATTGTACCTGCAGGCCCAGCTCCAGAGACACTTTCAGAAGAGTGATGTCTGGCAAACTGTCCATGAGAGTTGCAATTTTAAATGCATCTTGGGCAAGCTTGAAAATGTGGGATGAAGAGTGAATGTTTTTCTGGATAGATTCTAATACTGTTTCCAGCCTCCGAACATCACCTGCAATGAACAAGAGCAACCCAAATCAAACCAAATCAAATATAAGCAAAAGATCCATATAACACTCCCAACCCCCCCCCCCACACACACAGAGCAGGAGGAAAACAAGGAGAAAAACAAAACATAAGGCACAGTTTACTTGACCTATCCACAGATGGCCCCAATGTTACAACTAAGTGTCCACAGTTACTGCAATGTCTATGACTTTCAGCTTCCCAGAAAAGTCCACTGAGGGAGAAGTCCACCCTCAATGAGTAAAGAGCACACACAACAGGAATTCACATGTTCTAACTGGTTTCTACTTAGATCTTCTTAATGAATATTTCAAGGACAAAAAATTTTATTTGTAACCAAAAATTCTGATCGGTTTTTTAAAATCTCAATCATTTACCTTTGGCTTGGCAACGAAGCTAAAGTTGCCACCAGGAAGTTTAATGATACTAGTAAATAAGGAAATTGCCAGGTGCAGGTGAGTAGCACCTGTTCTACCTCATGAAGCTAATATATGAGGGAAGGACCCTTTACAAGTCATCTGACATTAATACTACTGTTGAGAATTGGGTTTTTAAGAAAGACTCTTTGAAAAAAGCAAATAAACATACAAATGCAAGGATTCTGGACACTAGTACCTTTGGCTGCAGTTAGCATGGTGGATGCCAGCTCACACTGCTGGGATTCAATGTGGCTTAAAGTGAACCAACGAGGGTATCGGTTGGGAACAACTGATGCAATGTGGTGTGGGCGGGTGAGGTCTCCCGTTGGAGCAGTAGATTCCAATACTAGTAACCTATAATAAGAAGACAAGCAAAGGGGCCTTTAGTCACCACTTTCATACAACCTTGGTGGCAGAAATGGAAATGGCTGGCAGAAACTAGAGCCGTGGTAGATGCTGAAGACCACTGTGCAGGACCCTGATTCAGGAAGGACTGGTACAGTACCCTCTGCTGTCTGGAGCCCAAAGTCACCTTGTTAATGCTCATCATTGCCACCTAAGAGATTTCATTTATTTAACATCATTCAGAAAACTGTAATACTCTAGGAAATTAAAATGTTTAACACTGAGGAACTTTGAAACCCATGTCTTGAGGTTTACCTGCTACTACTGAATCTTATCATTCATTAAAAATTAAAAATCAACAAAAACTGATAGCAAAATGGGTATTTAAGACTGAGACAGCACAGTCAATGATCAGTAGGTAGCTCAGGTAAATAAGCTTAACCTAAATAGGACAAGTTTAAAACAACCTCTGTTTTCTCTTAAATTTCTAATTTCTGCAGTTAGTTTCTCTGACTGCAGGAAATTGAAATTAAAATGTGTTCTATTGGTAACTCAGAGGAAATGGCCATAACTGCACTAAGCATCTGTTCCTTGACAGTTTTGCATAAATTCAGTGATTTCTTATTTCTTTTTTTGGGGGGGAGTCTTTTTTCTTTTTTTTTTAATCGGTACTGCAGATCGAACTCACGACCGCCTGCTTGCAAGGCAGGTGCTTATGCCACTGAGCTAATAAATCCCCAGCCCCAGTGATTTCTTACTTCAAGCTACCTTAAAATAAGCTGATGAAGTTAACAATTTTCAAAAACAAAGGGCATACCTAGTGATCTCTTCTAAACGTTAAGCATCAGTGAGATGAATAAAGTAGTTGCAACTGAAATAATTCCTTTACAATAATCAAAACAGTGGCCTTTATCAAAGTGTGTCACTGTCAGGGACTACGGACTAAGCCAAAGACCAAGAGTTAGCAAGGTCTGGAAAAGATGCTGGCCTCCAGGCCTCAGCTAAGAGCAGTTACTATTTCATGTTCACCTATGGACAAAGAGATGTTAGCACTGGAAAGGGTGGCAAGGTAGGCAATTAAATAATCACACTTCTTACAAGGCTGCTAGTTAGCTTTCTCACAAAGTCAAGTGTTGTGGCAGATCTTGCCAGAGCCACTAGAGAGAAACTGGTCACCATCCTGGGAAGATGAGAAAGTGAGTATTGCAGACACCCTTCTGCAGCCTCCCCACCTGCCTCCCGGCTGCCTTGAGAAGCTCAGGTGGGCTCTGTGACCTCCTCCGTGCAGGCCTGTGGCTGGGATAGTCACGGCAGGTGGAAGAGAAAGGTAGAAAACCGTTTCCCTGTACCCTGCTGTTTCTCCCCATGAAGAAACTGCCTGTGCAGCAACCACAGGAGAACATCAATTAATGCTGAGCATTCATTAGAAAAGCAAGGCTTTCTGCCTGGCAGATACCATTACATAATTCAGAACCTTACTGAAGCCTTATGCTAGTTCGGTGTCATACTCTACCAGTGGTAGTAGCAAAAGCATCTGGTGGTATCATAGCATTAATATCCTTCCCTTTAAAACAAAAGTAGAGTTTTTAGGGTTAGAATAAGTACAGAGCTTCGGTCTCTACAAGACTATTTCAGCTTCCAAAACTGGGAATAGGATCTATTTATTATAAAAATATTCTCTAAATACAAAACAAGTGGGCTCAAGCAATTTGGTGGAACTGTTACTTTTATAAAATGCTAATATTTGATACTTTAAAAACAGACAGGAATACTTACAAAGTTTCTCTAATAATTTACTGAGATTTCACATTGCCAAGGAAGTATACTGAATTAAAGGATATTAGTCTTAAAACACACTGACACAGGTGTACAGACACACACTACCCTACCATGTAAATGTTGGATATAGGTGAGACAGAACAATGCACACTACACTTACAGCAACTTTGGGAACACTGGCAGCTTATAGGCAAGGATTGTTTTTGAATCTTACACTGGTTACAGAATCTTTGATGAAAATCTTATGGGACCACATTGTTCTTTGAGATACTCAAGCTTCTGGGCCTTACAGAATTTGTTCTTACATAGTTAACTATAATGATGTCTAATTATGTGCTTTCCATTAGAAAGACAGGAGGGTTTTTATTAATTTTTTTAGACAGGAAAAGAACAAAAAGATCATGTTGTAAGGAAGGTATACATTCTCTGTTGGCCCTTACAATTTAGAAAGTTATGTATAATATTTAAAAATATAGTCTATAAACTCAATTAAGAAGAATCCACCTTGAACAAATTCATTATAAAAACAATTATTTGATGAACTAACTTTTACTATATTTGGTCAAGAATATTTGCTATTTATCATGGTTTCAAAACTTGAATTTGTTCAAAATGATCACTTAAGGAAGGCTTAAACTGTAGTAGTCTTATGGTTACAATGGCCTGAAATGGTACTCCATTCTCATATTCTCGTATCAAAAGAATTGTCAGGACAAATATAAGTGTGATAGCAGTTAAGGATAAATTCTTCACTTATTTTAAAACAAAATGAAAGCAACAAATCACTTCCACAACACTCCATGAAGCATAAATATGTTTAGCTTTTCTGCTGCCTACAAGAAACATGAATGGATGTGAAGTTGGTTAGCAGCCTTTGCCCGGTGGGAACTTTGGCTCGCCTCTGCCCAGCTGGGCTGGGTATACATACCGCATTGCTCTCAGTGCAATTCTGTATGCCAATTCAGCATCATGAGGTAGGAGAGAAGTGAAGAGATACTTGGCAAAAGTGTGCATTGGAACGCTCTCCCGATGGATTATTTCGCCTAAACCGCTATATGGTCCGGCTGTGGGAAGAGAGCATGCACATTTTACATTCCTAAGAAGTGAACTCGTATTTCCTATAAAGTATACTTTAAAATTTTTTATGTAAAGTTACAACATACACAAGATGATCTAGTTAAAAGTTCAACATAACTGTTATGTAGAAAAGAAGAGAATTCTTAGTCAAGGTTCTACACAATAGCGACTTGATGTCATGAACAACCCTCACACTGTGCCACGGCTAAAATGAGAACCACCGGACAAAGGGCCTCTAAGAAAGGAGTTGCAACTACTCTTGCCATGGGTCACAAGTGAGCATGGGAACTTGAAACTCACAGAGGCCTCTGCAGTCTAACTGCAGAACCTGTCCCTGGACTCAGGCAGTCAAAGGGGCGTAGACATCCTAGCTTTCCTGAACAGGGTTGCTCTCCTCAGGGCAAAGGTGAGGGAGGACCTTAAGCCATGGCTCTCAAAACAAACTGTATATGCTATTGCTTCTGATGAGCACAGATAGACACGTGATTAATAAAAAGTTACCCATCTGATACAATAAGCAAAAGAAAAAAATGAGTGTAATTGGAAATCTACTATTTTGGGGGCCAAGAGGCCAATTTTAAAACATTATATTTAAGCCATCAAAATTCATTTCTTAGTAAATTCTGACAGGCAGGGCTAACTTCCCCTGTGTTCCCTGAATGTCACTTGGAGAGAGCAACACACTTAAAATAAGTTTTGAAAGTAAACCACAGTGGTCAGTTCAACCACTCTACACTTAGAGGTGTAGTTACTATAAAGTGTTTAATACATTAGTTTCCATGTTACCTTTGGGTAACATCTAGTTCATGATTTCTTGCATTATGGGCCATGACACTACTGCTCAGATTACATAATAATACATTTGTTTTCCATAAGAAAAATTCTGGCAAAGAGTTTAGAATGTAAGAAAAATAGCTCAGAAAAAAAAAAAGGTGAGGGGTTATTTGAACTGGGTTTTGGGTAGGAACATGACATATTCTAGATAGTTTTCACAAAAGTTATTTTTAATGCAATTGTTGGTTAGTTTTTTTAAAATTATTCACTAAGTACTTTGAAAAATCAAAGTACTTTAATTTTATCACATCTATTAATCATTTTAAGATATTTTTATATGTTTTAGGTGATATGACACTGTTCAAAAGATATAGCATTATGCTTGCACTTTTAGTTCTATAACAAAGCTACAGTATTTAAATTACTGTCAGGGGCTACATGTGTACATATCTCCCAAATTTATGTTGAGATCTCAAACCCTGATGTTACAGAGATTTTATGACATTAAAGTTAAATGAAGTTCTAAGAGTGGGGCACAAATGCAAGAGGATTAGTGTCTTCCTAAGAAGAGACTGCAGACAGCTCACTCAGTCTGCCTCTGTCATGTGAGGACATGGGAAGAAGGCTGTTTTCAAACAAGGAAGACAGCCCTCTTTAGAAGGAAATGGGCCAGGCCCTTGAACTTGGACTTCCTGGCCTCCAATACTAGAGAAATAAATACCTGCAAGCTGCCCATTCTGTGCTATCTATTAATGCAGTCAGAGGTAAGACACAATGCTATTTTACTTAATGAATAATCATGGATATTTGCAGTTTATCCATATTTTTCATTTCTCTTCCATTTTCTTTCATTATTTCCCTATCAAGCTCCCAAGTTACATTTTTTGCACTATTCATGCAAAGCTATGATATATAATCACTACTTCTGTCTGACACCTCCCAACAAACCTTTCTGCCAGGTATCACAGAATTAGGTGTGGACTAATAATTGGAGTAAACCCCAACTCCAATGTGCTAAAAACCAAAAACTAACAACTGGTGTTAAGTTATTCCAGAGGTGCTTTTCCAGCATGCCAACCATCCATCCAATATTGTGGCCAGAAAAGATTAACGTTCAGTAACAACACAAGTTACTGTCTCCTTTCTTCTATATCCAGGCCTAATTTATCCCTGCAATTTGCAAAGAGTACAAATGCATGCAGAGCATCATGCCTGCTTACACATGAAGCTCTTTCTTTTTGGAGTTTATTGAAATGGTCCCTGGGCCAGCCACTAGACCACCTCTTGTCCTTCCCGCCCACCCTGGGTGAACCCTGCAGGGCCAGGAAAGGAGAGGAGGCAAAGATGTGTCAACAGGGGCCTCTGCTCAAGCAGAACACCCAGAAAAAGGTTTGAAGAAATGAATGGACTAATCAAAGACTAAGACAAGTTCAAAAGTATTCATGAATAATGAACATGGAGGGATATTTGGAAAGGTAAATGATAAACAGGTATTACCAACTTTGAAAACCATATATCCTTTTCCTGAACCTTAATAATATAATGGAAATCACGTCATTTAGTACAGCCAGTGACAAACAGCATTAAAAAAAGTTTATGCTTAATTATATTGCTTAGATATAGAAAAGAAGCAAGGAAACTGAAGATCAGCGTAATTCTTCAAGCTTACCAAAATGTTTTTTTTTATGTTCACAAAACAATGCAAAATAAACTTCAGGAGTTTCAAAAAGTTAAAATTAAAGATATTTACCAAAATAAAAGCATGCTATTAAAATGCATTATCTCAAGATTACTCTTTAAGACTTACAAACATATAATGTATTTGGAGAAAATATTTTCTTTCAAATAGATCTTAAGCTTTGGACAAATAAAGTAGGTTTTAAAATGTTGTTTTCTCCAAAGCTCCTTCCACATGTAACAATTCAGGATAGAATATAAAAACACCACACTTTATCAGCCTGTCAATCACACATACACACACAAACCCACACACACTCCCTTGAAAATAACATACACTTATCTGAAAGACATAATTTTATCAATCAATTTCAATAAAGGTTATGTAACTATACTGATTTCATTTACCTTTTTGAGAAAAAAAATCTGAAAAACAGCATTAGCCAAAATTTGTTGGGCCATTTAAATCATGACCTTATAAAAAGAAAATTAAGAGTTAGCCTTTGAGATTCTCTGAAATCTTTTCCTTGGTGTATTCCTAATGAGGCCTGGGAAATAATTATAGCATGGAAATTCACTCCTATAGTCTTCAATTCTTCATTACATATGTATATGACTTATTAAAAACACAGAAGTCAGATAACAAGAATGACCACAGATTTCTACTTTATATTGATCAAGCAAATAGGAACATGGCCACCACAGCAAAAACTCACTGAATATGAAAATTACACTTAGCGACCCAAAACATTTCTGTTGCTAACTTAGATTATGTAATTGATTTTCTGCGTATCTCTTTCTCTCACCTGGCTAGCCCTATCAAGTTACTCATGTATTCCCCGCCTGTCCCCCATCCTCACTGTCACTCATTCTTGAGCCACCCCTCTTCTTAACACGATAATGAATTCTGGGAGAGGCCTAGGAGCAGGGCTTTTGTCCACATGTCCTCAGGGGGATTGGACATAGGACCCCTTGGCTGCCCTTAACTTGGAACATGTCCTGGTGTCTTTATTCTCATGATCAATTACATTGGTGGTGATAGATTAAAATTAACTTGCTGGAATTCCAATAACGTTGCAATGGGATTACACATATAACTTTCTGGATTGTGAAGAAAACTAAAAAGACGACTACAATACTTGAGTGACTAAATTCAGTATTTGAGATTACAATAAGGAATGTAAAGTTTAAGCATTAAATGGGACTGATTTTAAACAGGCTATCCCTACATGACATGTTTAATCAAGTGATACAAACTTAAATGTTTGTAGGTTTTGCTTTGGGGAGACTATTTTTTTAAAACAGTGAACATGTCTTTGACATTCTGTAATCGTATCGATCAGCACAACTACCATATTAAATACATTTACACAGTACTCTCAATATAATAAGGATGAGCACCTAAATCAAATTGGCTAAGTGGAAAACTTATTTATCAAACTACCTTCTAATAGGAAGACTGCTTGCTTGCGAAAAATTTTCACCAATGTGTCATCCAATTCAATTTCCTGAAGCTTAGAAATAAGCTGCTCCTCATTCCGGCAAACTTTCTCCTGGGTGTACAGCCCGTCCGGCATGATCCGCTGCTGCCCCAGCCCTATCAGGGCTACTTCCACAGCCAGCGTTAAGTAGGATTCCCCTTCTTCTAAGAATTTGTGTGCAGGTAGATGCTGGTATTCTAGAGACTTGCATTGTCCCATACTTTCTGTAAAATGACATAAAAGAAATCAGAACTAAACTATTTTTGTACATACTTAGATACAAATATTTATTCTATCCATTACTAGTAAATGAATTATTGACTTAATTCACAGAAAGCACGCATTTCATGTTAAAGTGCATACTTTTCCAGTATCTTTAAAAGTGACCATGAATGATTAAATGTGTATGATTTACGAGAGAGAATATCAGAAGTATTTTTCTCTCACTGAAAATGAATCACCAAAGAAAACTAAATCCAAAAAGGAATGATACTAAGAACCCTTAGTAATGAGAAAATATTTTAATTAAACAACAGTGTATCTGCATGATCACTACAACAATATTATTTTAAAGACCGGTATTTAAAAAATGGGTTTCCATACTTTAGTTACAATGTTGAAATTTATAAAGAAAACAATAGAGAATATAACAATGTGATTCAATGTCAGGGTGCTTTTTGTTACCTAGATTCACCCTGCCATGAAGGTCTCCACAGGCGGGAAGCTTGCTTCCTGCCTGACCCTGCCATTGCTCCTGTGATCTTCTCTGTGGGGGGATGATTCTTAATTCTCAAAGGGTCAAAGGGAAATCTCAAAATACATTTTAAAGGAATGTGTGATGTAAAATAGTTTGAAATGGCATTTAATACTCATCTTCATCATTTAAACTGGCAAGACCAATTTAAAAAGCAACTAAATTAAATTTCTAGTTCTAAACTCTATGATGTCTATCTTTGTTTTTTTAATCTCTAAGTTAAAGAAAGTCATAAACACAAATTCTTAAGATGTAGAATCCCTGGTAAGAGAATGGTAAGATAATAAATACTTTTGAGTTCTTTACACATAGCGTCAGCTCTCACGCTGACTTCTCAGTCTGTGGAAGCCTAACGGAAAGCACAAATATGCTATTTCCTTGTTCTCCTGCCGACCACAGGACTGTTAACTACACAGCTTCATAAAGCACAGTGTAAAGAAAAATGAAGACTAATGCCACTCAAGATGTAAAAAAAGAAAACACAATTGGACCAACGTGTGGCTTTGCTTTACCTGTAAAATCTGAGAAGCCAGGGCAGCTTTCATCCTCAGTGTGGCAGGCTTCCATGAGGCTACTGAAGAGAGTACCCACAGGGTCCAGGGGGTGTCCGACCCAGCCTTCCAGATTGGTTATGGAGGTGATGCTTTTGTGGGGGAGCTCTGTGTAAGAGAAGGGGATTGAGAGATGGGAGCGGAAGGGACAGGAGAGATGAGAATAGGGGTAAGGTATGCTTTGCCACTCAACTCCGATAAATTAGTTCTGAATTCAAATGAACATTCACTCCCCTTTAATTAAAAAAAATTAACCAATCCAAAACTATTTTAATCCCCAACTTGTGAATAATTACGAGTTCTAAACGTTCATCTGTACATCAATATCAGAAGTACTAAATTCTCAGAACAGCTTCCAGATAGTGATTTAATTCATGTGTCCAGTATGCTAAGTTGATGTCACCACCTGCACTATTAAATCATGTAGTATAGGGAAAAATAAATTCCATATTTTCTTCTGAGTAGCTAGGGACAATTACCCCTGCTTCCTTAGGTATGGCATTGGAGATGATAAAGAATACGCTCTGGAACTATCAACCAGATGAATCAGGAAGCCATCTTTCGATATGACTCACTGTCTCATATAAACTGAGGTCTCGGGGCAGAAGGGCCCAGGTCAGGTTTGGACTCCTACATGAGTATCAGTTACCCCTGTATTACTTTCTTTTTTGTTTGTTTGCTTGTTTAAGGGATCTCCTTATGTATTCCACACTGGCCTCAAACCCACTATGTGGCCCAAGCAGGCCTGGAGTCATGGTGATTTTCCTGACTCAGCCTCCTGAGTGCTTGGATTACAGGCATGTGCCACCATGCCCTTCCTTATTCCTTTATAAAAGTCTTCTTTATTATGGATCTTCATTTGAGGCAGGGTCTTTACACAAAGGTGAATAATAGCAAAAGATTAGTATTTAGAAGAAATATAGTAGTTTCTTTCTTTTTTTTTTTTTTTTTTTGTAAAATGTTAGTGCTTTCAACCTAGGATATTGAAGAGAAAAAGCAGCAAAATTTTAAAGATGTATGTTTCTACTGTTGTAAAGTACTATTTATACTCAGGTGTCTACTCAAATAGTAGTAGTTCCTTCTTAAAGGAAAATATAATAAAATGTATATATACAAAAATTATACAAGCAAGTACTGACTTCTAAACAAAAGAACTGCTCTATGAATTCAGCATTTCTTCAAAAGACTTCTGGTTTGAATTATTAACTATCACCACATAAAATGAAAAATGGCTTGACAGAATGTATAAAGATGTATTTAATTTTGGCCCTTGAGTCCTTGGAAAGATCTGTCCCTCTGGTTACTGTCACTGGCTTTCATATATACAATTAGCATGAAACAAACAAACATGAGCTTTACTCTTGGGAAAATCCAAGTATTTATGTTTTGCTAAAAATAAAAAGATGTAGATGGGTTAAGGGAAGTGCTGTGTTTATACAAACCAACCTATGGTGAAATGATGGGAACTGAGGACATGCAACAAACAAATCAAAAGAGGAGGGTGGTGTTTTTAGAATCAAGAAGCTGACAAATCATGGCAAACAGTATCACAAGTGTTGAAGTACTGCATTCGCTAATCCTGGACCATTAACAAGTAACTGCTTTGGCACTTTGGATTAAGAATAGCTACAAAAACTCTTACAGACGAACAGTAACAACAAAAAGACAGGGGAAAATGGAGGCACTGATATAGAATCCTAGTAATACTTAAGAATGTTCTGAAATGAAAGTTTTCACTGCTTACAGGATAAAAGAAAAACGTGTCTAATGATAATGACCCAGACTTAGGTTATAGAACTGTCTCAAAGACAATGAAAGGAATCTAGCCTAACATGCATTCTAATTTATGTAAATGAACTAATAACATTTCTTAAATATTGCAATGTTTTTACAAAACAAGTTTTTAAAGTTTTTTGTAAAAATCCATGATAATGATTTTTAAAAAGCAGAGGATCAATATGAGCGAGTTCTTTTGGTAGTATTACAAAAGTGTTCTACTCTCTCCTAGTCTGAGTATTATCCTTTATACCATTTAGAAATAAATGCCTTTTGCCAAAGATTGTGTGTTTAGGGAATGAAGGATTTCAGAAAAATTTTCCAAGAGGTCTAGCAATGTATTTTGCAAGCACCATTGATGATGTGAAGAACTGAACATACAGAACTGAACAAAGTAATCACACATCAGGGTTATTTACATTTCAATCCCATCTGAGCTTCCCTTTCTTTGGTTCAAATTGTAACACTGGAATGTTTTTCACTGTATAAGTGACAGTGTTTGTTAGCATTCATAATACTTTCAACACAGAAGGCATTAAAAGTTTCAACAAACACTCGCTCTGACGTCCAGCCCATTTCAACAACTTTTAATAATTTAAACACAAGATTGTGCGTATTAATCCAAGGATTAAAAATCAAAATATAACTAAACAAACAAAGTAAAAACATAAAAGTCAAACAGCAATTAAAACTAGCTTTCTTGATAAAAGATTACAAAGTAAAATTGAAATGAACTAACCAAATAAATATAAAGCTAAATGTGTAACTATAGAAGGAATAATAAATACATAGATTAGAAAAAGCATACACATTTCATTATCTGAGCAGGGCCTTAAGCATGAAATACAACCTTTTGTGACTATTATCATGGTACTTATTCAAAATTAAAAAGATTAATAAACTTAGAAAAGAGTTAATATGTTCTGTCAGCCAACAGCTCACTACCATTTGCACAACAAAAAGAAAAAATCCAGGAATTTAGTTCTAATCACTAAACAAATATGCCCTGATGCACAAATTACCACAGCTAAAAAGTTTCAGAGTGCTTGACCTTGAGGATGTCAGCCTAGTTTTCAGGTGTGTGTGTTTTTTACAGTTAGTTTAAGCATCTTGATAACCCTAAAGACACAGGCTCCCTGTCCCACAGAAGAGGCATCTGACTCACAGAGCACTCAGGTCATTCCCTAGGGTTGCCAAACTGAGACCTATTCCTGGAATTCAAGCAGACGAAGTTTATCCCAACAATCCTGCCAGATTTTAGATGCACTTTCACAAAATAAGTTATTTGACTGGTTTTTTAGATGACTCAGAAATATTTGTTACTCAATTAAAAAAAAAACCCTCCTTTTAAAAAAGAATTAATTAGTCTAAGATATTTTCCCCAGTGCTGAGGAATGTATCCAAGGCCTTGCAAGCACTCTACCACTGAGCAATATTTCCCAGCCCCTAAAAGGTTTTGGTAAAAATATTTTCTTACAATGTTTGACCAAGAAAAAAAGTGCTTAAAATTTCTTACACATTAGTTATCAAGTACCTTCAAAAGAATGGTAAGTACAGCCTTATGGTTAGGGTTAGGCTCTCCTGAAAGAACACAAAACCTAGCGATGCCATCATGAAGAGTCCCATTCCACTGGGAAAAAAAACCTCCTCTGAATTCACCTTTTTTTTGAGTCCGGAACATTTCCAACTGTTTTTGTTGCTGTCGTCTTAATGTGTTAACAATAGCTATTGCTAGTCGCAGTGCTTCTCTGGGGTACCCGTGAGACTGTAATGCATCCACTCTTGCACAGGCTGTAGGAACATGTTCTGAAAAAGAAAGCCAAGGGGCAAAGTTGCCACTGTCAGGTATATCTGTAGAAACAGGATTTAATAGTAAGATGTTTCTCCCAAAATACTATTAAAAAGACATGAGAAACCATTTCTGAACTTGGATTTGAATGAAAAAACTCAGCTCCTATGCCAAGCATTCATCCATCTCCCATTGAATCCCTTAATTCTCTACCTCCCACTCCAATAATGCTATAGAAACTAAACAAAGAAGTAAGTCATGGAAATGTCTTTCCGGTTTGGCCACTTACCATGCCAGAGGGGCCACCCGCGAGAGTCAAAGAGGGAGTTTTCAGTGTCGTCATGGTAACAGTAGTTGGTGTATAGGTCACTGTTGATAATGTGCTGCAAGTGGCTATCCTGCCAGTGGAGATCGCATGCTTCGATGGCTCGAGTGAACACTGTCCGATGTGGCCTGTTCGATGAATCTGTTTTTTCCACAATTCAGAAAGCCGTGTCAGCTATTATTCACATGTGAATAAATCAGTCATACCATTCTGTGGCCAGATGTTCATGAACACACCCACACACATTGTCTTGCACCCCCTAAGCAGAAGGGTGAAGGCTGAATATTCTCACATCCTAAATTGTAAGAGGCAAGTCAGCCCAAAGAGCCGCCATTCATTCACTCACTTGCTTTATCACACACAAACGTTCTGCAGCCATTAAAGCTAAGGTTAAAGGCATCCTGCGAAAAGAATTGTCAAGTCTAGTTTCCATGCCCAATACACTCAAAGAGGCACTCGGCACAAAATCACATGAAAACTCACTGCTCCCCACTTCTGAGGTGCTGTGGTGGGCTGCCCCTGATGGGATCAACAGCTCTCACAAACACTATGCAAGAGATGCGACACCAGCCATGGAACCTTTCAGGAAGATGCAGTCAGACTTTAAAAATATGCATAAGGGTTGTGCTTTTGGTTGTATTTTTTAACTATATTGTGCGGTTTTGCACAATTAAAACTATTATGCTTCTTGGGATATAATGAATAAATGCCAGTTTATATCCCAAAGGGCATAAATGCATATATTTAACATTTCACAAAGCCACACAACATAGCTACAAAACAAACCAGCGCACTTACCTTGCCCCTACAGGCTGCCTCCTGACTCCTGGGCAGGTTCCATGACTGGTGTGATGTCCCCAGCATAGTGTATGCCGGGGCATCACAAAAGAGCAGAAGCATACACTCCGAAGAGGGTTCAAGTTTCAGGACCTGACGGAGAAAAGAAATGTTTGGGGAATAAAGGATATTCTCACCTTAGTTCTTGGGACTATTCAATTTCTAAAGATTCTATCTATATTCCCATCCCTTGGGTCCCCACTCCAAACTTACCTTCAACTGTGGTGCAAGACTTAGCAAGCCTCAACTGGAAATCAGGATAACAAACTATTTGTATTTGTGTGTATTTAACTTAGCTCAAATTAAATACATATACAATAGTCCTTCACTGTTCTCAGATTCAACTAAATGAGAAGAAAAATCTGAAGCTTCTTTAAAAATCTGAAACTTTCATATCCCTGTCCCTGGACATTTGGCTTAGCACAGACATGAGAGAAAACATTTAAAAAAAAAAAAATCAAAGAACTCTGAGCTGAGAAAAGACTGGAGAACTCATCTCGTCCAGGCTCTTTGTTCGGTGGCAGAATTAAACAGTGAGGAAAGGAAGTAAAGAGACTTGCCAAGGTCCTAGCCAAGCAGTGACAATGAAATGAATACACAGCCACCCTTAACTCCAAATTCAGCTAATCCAGCTACTCAGATGGGCTTTGGACAAGTCTTTAACACAATATCACTTCAGTGTAGTCTCAGGTCAACAAAAAGCATAAACTAATGACACCACTATTATGGTCTCTCCCTTCTGATTCCTTGCTAGCACACTGCAAATGGGAAGAGTGGACCCTACTTTTAGTTGCCTTTTGAGCCTATTAGGGCTTTTTGCTAGGCAAAATAAACATGCCCAGACCTCAAAAAATGGTTCTATGGCTTCTCAGTCAATCAATCAAATGTTGCATGGTATAGGTCTCATGTATTTTTTAAGTAGCTTTGTCATTTCATTCAGTTTAGCTCATATTATAGAAATAGAATTTAAAACTAAATAAAGACTTTAACACAGAATCTTAGTATTATGTGTGCATTAAAAGAATGAGCTGAGGTCTACCAGTTGACTTGCCTCACTATCTATGGTACTTCTAATAAAAGCAAGCTGTAGAATGATTTCATTAAAAAATAAAAATAAAAAGCCGAACTGTTTACATGTTTGTGTGTGACTGTGGGAACAGGGTAAGATATAGAGGACACACACCAGACTTTCAACATTAGCTAGCTCTATGACACCAATAAAGCCAATGGTAACAACCACCACCACAACAAAAAGTAAAAACAAAAACCCCAAAGCTAGATTCTCATGAAATTATATTTAAATGAAAAAGAAGACTAAAAAGTCCTATCATTGCCTGAAAAATACAGAAAAATTGATTACATACATAAAAATGATTCAAAAGGTACACACAGTTGAAAATCTACTTTGATGAGGTATAATATTTATGGTCAGTCTTTATCTTGGATATATGTGGTTATTCAATTTTTGTAGTAAAACTGAAAAAGAAAAACAGGCTATCTTGATCCAATTTTTTTTGAATAATATATACTAGAGTTTACACAAAATTTCTAAATAAAATGTATGTAAAATTAAACAGTAAATTTACAGAAGTAAAAAGAGAAAGTTTTAGTTTTTAAAAACTAATTAAAAATCAGCTTATTTGATATATTACAATTTGCCAGGTCAACAAAGTACTCTTCTATAGATTCTAATGGGTTGTTCATGAATTCTAAAAATTATCCCTCATGAGCCCTTCACACTCCCTGTGCTGTGTAAACACATGAAGTCCTGCCCATGGCCTGGCTAGATGCCCTGCAGTTCAGTTATGATGGATACTGCTGGATTCCGGTGGCTACAGTGGCTCTGCCCTATAAAAAGTAGCACTGCAGAGAAAGAGCTGGAGCTCCAGACTCACTCTTGACAGTCCCTCAGGAGGATGTGGATGTTCTGCAAAAAGCAGGTGCCCTGTTGCCTTCAGGCACTAGAATTATAAATACTGCCTTTGGAAACTGCCGAGGCCAAATCATGAGTGAAATGAACCGTGGTGTCTGGAGGCTGGATCACTTCCTACCAGCTTTCTAAAGCTTATGAAATAAATATTCATGTTTAACCAAAGGTAAGATAATAAATGGAAAGCAAAATGATTAGTACAAAATATTATAGTGGCAGTCCCAAAAAAGCAGTGGAAAGCAAAACACAGAGAACTCTAAGTATTAATAACAGAAAAGAATTAACAATTGCTTATACAGGTGTCAGCATACCTTTCCTAACAATGAAGAGAATAAATAACTGACAGCTAAGCTTGAAAAGTCTAAGCATCTGGAAAGAAGTCATAGGTGGGAGGAGCTCATTTACTTAGCAATAAAGACAGGACAGATTTCAAATCCAGGACTGAATTCTCAAGCTATGCATCTCTATGGAAAGCAAAGCTAGACACACATCTTTCCCAGTGATCAGACAGGACCTTGTGAAATAATACGTAGTTTTCCTATAGAGACTGAAGATGCTTTGCTAACATCACATATGAACTAATCATAATGCCAAATTATTATGTGGCCAGCAACACACAAATGATGATAGTTTTCATTCTGTAATCCTTCTAATTTCATTGAATTCCCACTTTGCTTCTATTATGACTTTCAAGTCTTTCATACTTTCTCAAAAAGGAGGAGGGCACAGACAGGCAAACACAGTGGTATGAATTAAGAAATGCAATTTGTATTTGCAAGAGTTAATCAGGTAAGAGTTTGGTTCTGAAAGGAAAATTCTGCAATAGCTATCAAGGTAAACTGAGGCTAAGGAAGAATGTTTAAAGATGGGAAGGATGAGAGTGGATGAATCTAATAGATGAGAAGCTGAAGAAACAAGATAGAAATGGCAAGAAAGAGGTACTTCTGGCAATGTCTGGGAGTATTTTTTGGTTGTTCCTGAAACTGGAGGGCATGATAGGCCTACTGAAAAAAGTGAGGACAAGTATACTGGACAATCCTTCCCAATGCAAAATTTTCCCAGTCCAGACACCAACAGCATACCATGCTCCTCACAGTCTAGCCATTAAAAATTTCCTTGCTATATTTTACAACTAAGAATTTTAAACTAATTACAGGGTGGCCCAAATATAAACCAACCAACAGATATGTACTCAGAACTAGACAAGCTTCTCTGTATTTTTTTTTTCTTCTTAACAAGGTAATATACTGCTAGCCTATTCTCTGAATTTCAAATTAAATCATTAATAGACCTTTATAATGCATACTAACTAATGTGTTAGGATTACATCTATCTGTATTCTGAAAAAAATTAAAAAAGTATAGAAAGGCCTCAGGTAGAATTAAAACACATACACACGTTCGCAATCAAAACATACGAAGTTTTTGAGTTATAGTAGGTTATAAAGTATATAATATCACTTTCCAATATATTAAGTTACCATTATAAACACATGCAGGATGAAGTATACAGACAAGCTGAGCAGAACACTACTGTGGACTCACCTTGGTTGGCATTTGCACCCTGAGGCAGAGCATTGGTTAAGTTGGGTAATTCACTGCCGTGATTTCCATCTTCCCATGGACAGACATCAACACTGTTCCATTTTTTCAGCTGTTTTAGCCAGCTGGCCTTCTGTTCTAACTTGCAGTGGGGGTTTAGAACTATACACATCCACAGAGCACCTTAGAAAGAAAAATTTCAAAAATTAGAAAAACAGCTAAAGATAAGCTACTTCAAGATGGACTGAACTCTGACATTTTTATAACTCAATTCTCCTGTTATAAACCACAAATCTAACACAGAATTTAAAGGGAGGGGGAATGAAAGATCCTAAATTGGAACCAAAGACCTAAATACTGTTATATATAAAGATGAAATGTATTTCACTAGGTTAAGAAAGACCTAACAAGCCAGACGCGTTGGTGCACACCTGCTAGCATTTGAAGATTGAGGCAGGAAGATTACCCAAGTTCAAGCCAGTCTGAGCTACATGGTGAGTTCAAGGACAGCTTGTCTCAAAAAAACAAAAAAGTTATGTGGTGGGAGGTAGCAGATAGAAGAGCGTATTTCTGCATGCTCTATCAAGCCCTTCTGCCAGGATGCTTCTGTGTTGGAGCCAGTTGCTTATGGACTAACCTTCCTAAACCATGAGCTAAACTTTATGATGTCTAGCAATGGGAAATCTGATTAATACAGATATTTTAGACAAAAACATTAATAACATGCAAAACGATGAGGCTCAATAGACAATGTCTATACACTGATGGATGCTGCAATATACCATTGCAAATTAGTTTTGCATAAAAATGGTATTTACTTTCTAAAATTATGTTTTTTTACAGAAAAATAATAAGGGCATATAGTTTCCTTATAAAAATTTCAATTTTATTATGTTTATGAATTGGTATCCATAGATACATATGTATATCAATGGAATACAAATAGTTTTGGGCAAAAAGAAAGTAAAATAGATCTTCCAAAAATAAAATTCACAATGAGGTATAGTGGCACATGCTTATAATCCCAGCATTCTTGGCAAAATAATAACTTGAATTAGGCTGTTAAAAGTGTCTGTAATACTACCAAAACTGGAAAAAAAGCCACAAACAAAAAGTTAAATACAAATAGAAGTTAAACAGAAATTAAATCAAAATATTTAAAAAGACTCAATCAAAATAAAGTAGTAAAGACAGAACAGAAGAATGTGGGAGATAAAAAACAAAATTAGATGAGACCTTAATTCAAAAATATTAATTCCATAAAATACGAATGATCTAAATGTATCAATTATAAGAAACAGCTAAGGGGCTGGGGATTTAGCTCAGCGGCATAAGCACCTGCCCTGCAAGCAGGCGGTCGTGCGTTCGATCCTTGGTACCGATAAAAATGAAAAAGACAAAAAAAGACAAAAAAAAAAAAAAAAAAAGGGAAACAGCTAAATCATATTAAAAATCAAGAACAAAGTCTATGTTGTGGATAAGAAATCTAACATAAATGTAGTAACTGCTTTAAAAGTATGAATATATACCACAAAATACTGTCAGACAAATGGCACATTACACAATGATAAAGGTACTCCAATAAAAAAATAACTGAAAGAAAACAAACAAACGTGTAAGTATAGACGCTTCTTTCCTTTCTCAATCACTGAAGGGATAGGTTGACAGAAAAATAGCAAATGCCTAAACAATACTATCAGCCAATTAAACCAAACCGATGTAAACAGAACATTCTACCTAACATTATGTGGCACTCTTGCTTGAGATATCTAGATTAGTTCATTATGTTATCCAAATACTATTGTTTCTACCATGTGTGAACCCTTCACTTACAGTCTTGTTGGAAGACCAGGGGTTTGCAAGTGAGGCTTCCCTGGGCTATCAAGAGCAGGCTCTATGCTTACCTTTTATACCAACTTATCCATAAATACTTATGAATTTCAAAAAATTAGGCATAAAACTTCCTAAATTATAACATGTATTTGTTTTTAAGATTGTAGATAAGAAATCACACAGGTTTGTCATCAGGGGCTACAGACAATAAACAAAAGAACATAATAACTGCTGAATAAACAAAGAAGCATAACTCAATTCACATACATATATTATGCACACACAAAAATTGTATGTGTAAATATATATATATATATATATATACACACAATTATGCAAACAAAAAGTTGGATAGTGATTTCAGAATCTGTATTTCTAGTATAAGGAGTTTTTAGGCTTGCCATGGAGAAGAAATGTTAGTGAATATTTTCCAAATAAAAAGTAATACTATAAAACATTTTAAAAAATTCTTATTGTTTCTATTCAGCATCACACTGAAGATTTTAGCAAGCTCCATAAAACAAGAAAAGCAGATTAAAAGTATAGACTGCAAAGGAAAGCATGTACATGATAACTAACTACAAACAAAGAACTAATATTTACACAGTCACATAAAAGTTCAAAGACAAAATGAAACAAAAACATCTTGCAAATTTATATGCAAAATAGGAACAAATGGATATCAGGAAAGCATCGTTTATATTAGCACTGAAAAATCATGAAATACTTAGTTTACAATTCTATCAAAACTTGTACTTTGCTTAAAATGATTAAACACTAATGAAGAAATCAAAGGCAATTTTATAAAAAGTAGAGAGTTAGGTTAATACATTAAAACACTCAGAATTGTTGATATGTCATTTATTCTCAAACTATTCTATAAAATGAACAAAACAAAACCTCACCCAAAACCCTAGCAGGCACTTACGAACACACTGATAAGAATAAAATAATCAAGACAATTTTAAAGAAGGGCTGAATCAGAAAAAAGAAAATAAAGGAATCAGAGTACCTGAATTAGAGACTTCTAATAAAGTTATAATAATCAAAATGGTATTGTATTTGCAGAAAGATAGGCACAATTATCAATGGATGAGAATAGCAAATTCAGAAAAAATTACACAAATATGGTCGATTCAAGAGAGAAAAGTCTTTTTAACAATGCTGGAATAGTCAGTCATGTAAAAAAAATCTAAATTCACACATACCACAGATCTCATTTAAAAATTAACTTTAAATGAATCATAGACCTAAACATAAAGCTTAAAACCATAAAACTACTGGAAAAATAGTAAAATAATTCTTGGGTTAAGCAAAAATACTACTAGGTGCAGTACCAAAAGCATGATCCATGAAAGAAAAATTAATGAAATGGGCCTTGACAAAATTAAAAACTTTTGCTCAACAAAATACAAGAGAATGAAAACACAGGTTACAGACTAGTAGAAAATATGTGCAACTCATATAGTGTATGTAATAAAAGACTTTACTGCAGAACAAGAAAAAGTGTCTCAAAACTTAGTAAAAAAAAAAAAAAACAACAGAAATAGACAAAACTGAAATGATATATATCAAACCAGGAAAAGACTTGCAGAAAACATAAATAAGTACTAAATGAAAGAAGTCAGTCTGAAAAGATTGCATACTGTGTAATTTCACACTCTAGAAAAGACAAAACTAGAAAACTAAAAAAAAAAAAAAATCTATCTATAGGCAGCTGTCAGGAGGAGAGGACAAATGAATAGGTGGAGCACAGAAGATTTTTTAGTTCATTGAAATTACTTTTATCCTTAAGTATTTATGATATATATTTTACAATCTTTAAAATTAAGTAACATTATTACAGTTATAACCACCATTTACTGGGTGCTTACTACATATTACAGGTTATATTTTTAGGGCTTTAGAACCACTTATCACTAACTCACTACAGTAATTCTCAGTAATCAGAATTACTATGGCCATTTCGAAGATGAATGCCTCAGTCCACTCAAGCAACTATAACAACAATATAAACCGGATGGCTTACAAATAACAAACATTTATTCCTTCCAGTCTGCAGGATGGGAAGTCCAAGATCAAGGTGCCAGTGGATCTGGTGTCCAATGAGGGCCAGTACCTCAGACAGGAGATGGCAACTTGTTGCTGAGTCTTCACAGTGCACACCGTTCCTTTCAGGCCTCTTCCAATTCCATTGTGATCTAACCACCTCCTAATATATCACCCTGGTAGTTAGGAACTCAAACACACGCCTGGGGGAGGGTGTCACAAACATCCCCACCACAGCCATGGGAAGAGGTTGAGGTCTTTTCAAAGCAAATACTAAATATCTTGGCAACTTTAAACAATTTCTGTGACTTTGAGGGAAAAAAATTCATAAAACTCATTTTAGATTTTTGTGCTTACATTTCTCTAATTAAAAAATTTCCATTTTGAAGATTAAGAGAAAAATTTTAGGAAGGCAAGTCCTTATTACTTTGCCTGTAACATTTTATCATTTACCTTCCTAAAGAGATGTTTCATTCTGAAAGGGTGTTCTTAATGTTAGATTCAAGTTCAGAACCATAATAGATATGGTCTTTTATCTTAAAAGTTATCACTACAAAAGCTGTAATTAGCTTTAATAGCCAAGTTAACCAAATTGAGTGAGTCATTTTCCAAATTTTATTAATTTACAGTCCCACTTTGGGCATTTATCTCCTTTCCCTCCAATAAGCCTGAAATATTGGTAATTTAAAATTAAGCTCTTTGATGATTAAACACTTCATTCTGCCATTTTTGTGAAATATTAACCCTTTTAGCATTCACTTAAAAATAGGTTAGAGAACTTGATGAGAAATAAGCAAACCACTTTTAGCAGCTAGCAGAGGACCTTGGCAGCTTGTACGGTGCTGCTGGTTTTTGCATGAAAGATGTCCAATTGTTTGCTCTGAATCAGTGAAAAACAAATTTGATACCTTTACATTGCTTTCCTAGCTACAATGCTGCAAAGCATATAATGCAATTGTCATATGAGTACATATCATCCAGTTTCAGAATGATGTAGGGCACATTCCAGTTCCAGCTTTCTCTATACCCAGCATGCTTTCACTGTATCTGTCCACCACTACACCTAATACGTGCTCAGTGATTTTAGCTGTAACACAAGGCAAAGTAAACCAAAACTAGGAAGGCAATCTTAGTTTGCGATTTTCCACCAAAGTAAATGATCCTAATCCACTTAGCAGACTTACTTCATTCATATCCTATACCACACCAACCAAGTGAACAGAATATAACACATCCTAAAAGCTCTTTGATTACTTCTATAGTCAAGCAAAAGCAGAACGCCAGTGGATGTGAACCTATGC